TATGTGTGTGTGTGTGTGTGTGTGTGTGTGTGTGTGTGTGTGTTTGAAGGTTTATGAGACAAACACTTTCTTACACTGGCCTTCTACTGATTACAATATGTTCACGTGTATGAAGGATCCATTCCACAATGTCATCTGAATCTGTTTTCAGTTTAAAATCTGTGCCAAAAGTAGAGCAAGTAAGTAAGAGAAGAGACGGGTGAATATGTCATTATCACTACATGACATCATGGAATTCTTCAGCAAAATGTACCAAGAGGGTCCGAGCGTGGACCTCACGTCTGGAGAACCCAGATCTGCGAGTCAATGGGAAGAGAGAAGGGTCTCCGGTATTTCCTTTAGTGGTATATGTCTCTCCTTTATCCAACCAGATTTGAACATTCAGAGTTTCTCTGCTCAAGACTTTAAAGCAGCTCAATTATTATCGTTTGTTTAATAATAATAATGCATCACTGAATGTAAAAATGTATCACCTGAATCTGCAGCTCCTCTCGGGTTTGCAGAGCTCAACAGCGGGTCATTTCTTGGCTGTCTGATCCAACTTTTATTATTTTGGGTGATTCCCACTAATCTCATAGCATCATTTTCCAGAACAGCAGGCAGCTGTTTACCGAGAATGCTCTAAAGTCCAGTACAGTACCTACTCAGCACCAAACAGCAGATACAAACAATACGACTGGCTGGTGAACATCGTGGAGCATTTAGCAGCTAACGAGCCAGATATTTCCCTCTGGAGTTGGTGGAGACCAAAACAGAGTTGCTGCATACTTGTTGGTGTGTATATAAGCACCTGTTGGCTAAAAGTTAGCCATATCAACTTAAAGGTGATGATATGTCTATGTTGTTTTCACAACTTGTTTCCGCTCAGTTATTGCAGGGTTAAGGAGTGCTAACTTAAGGTGAAAAACTAGCTAAATGTCTTTTTTATAGTGTGTTAGCTCTGAAAGAAATACTAAATTACCTAAAACAACAACCCGGTTGATGTTACATAAACTGCAGGTTGGAGAAGCTAATATTTACTCTACTTATACTCTACAATATTCCTACATTTATCACACCCTGCTAATGTTAAAATGCTTCATAGAAGACTGAAGATGAAGTTATATCCGCGCAGTATCACCTGAATGTGTCACTCTTCGTGTTGCTTTCTTGGATTTGTAACATAAGTTACTGTTGCCCTGTCATGAGCAAAAAGAAGTTAAATTATCTGTACAAGTAGCAACCCATTTCCTTTTATCCTTTTACAGCAGAAAAAGAAATGATGCATCTCACTCCTGGGGATTCTACTCTCTTCCCATTCGCTCACAGACCTGGAGACTGTTCTCAAATGTATTGTTGGATTCAAGGAAGGGAAATATATATAGTAGAAGGTTTTCAGAACTTAGTCTGCTTTAGTTTGTCGATGTGGTAGCAAAGCTTCAAGGCCGGCCCCAGCTTCAGTCCGAGGTACTTCATGATCATGTCGCTCTTTAAGAGTAACAAAGCGTTTCCATCGATCTCCTGAGGGAAGCAGAAACAAGAACTTTGTGTGGCGACCAGACAAGGTGATTTATACTGGATGTGCATTAAACCAGCAGTGAAACAAGTCAGCCTGTCAAGAACACAATGGAAAACAAACTTACATGTTTCCTAAAGACGTCTGAATGGGGGCCGAGAGCCTGGGGGTCCGCATCCCTGATGAACCAGACAACATCTTCTACAGACCAGGTAGTTGGGTCCTTATTGGGTGGAGGTTTGGAGTCCTGGGACTCTGAAGCTGCATTATAACCTCCTGGAAAAACAAAGGAAAGAAATGAAGCTCTATTTCCTTACCTCAGAGAAATAAACATTGAAGGAATCTTGTTTCTTTTCTTTCCATGACTTCTCACCTGTCCTGTTGGTCTCTGGGAACGTGCTCGGGCTGGTGGACGACTGCCTGCACATGCTCATGGAGGCCGAGCCATTGGAGAACTGCTGCAATGCACGAAACCCGTAGGAAGACTTTGGCGAGTAGGACGAGCTTATGGAGCTGAAAGCAGAATCTCCCGGGTCCACGGAGTAGCGTTTGCCGTCGGACTGGTCTAAATGATATTCCTCGGCCATAGACGTTTCAGCTACAGACAAGATAAGAGTCAGAATGAACTCAAAGAATGTGTTTGTATCAGCGTAGCAGCTTCTTTTAGACAGATTTAGAAGTACCATCGGACTGGTAGGAGCCGCCGCTGTGTTGGGTAATGGGCTGGTCGCTGAAGAGGTTTTCACAGTGCAAGCTGCGGCAGAGCTTCTTCAGAAAACGGAGCACATAGTCGATGCTGTTCACCACGGGGAGGCTGAGAAGGTGCTGCTTCCCATCAAATGTGGCTGGAGGGGCAAACCAGGGGGAACCACTTGAAACAACGTCCCAGTTTAGACGCACAAAGTAGGTAATTAAACTACTTTACTCATGCATGTTTTTATACTCAGGTGCAACATCAGGTAAAGTAGTGGGGGGGAAAAAGTTAATGAACAAATAGAAAGCAACACCTGAGGGAGGTCTTTGTACAACACCTGATATTTTTTCTCCGCCGTAGCCTTGTGTGAGGAGAGTGAACACTGTTTTCTGCAGGAAGGCGCTGTCGATGCAGCCTTGCACGGCCTGCTGCAGCACCACAGAGGGCCTGTCGGGTCCGAAGTGATCGGGAAGCTGCTGGATCTTCTTCCTGTCCAGGTTGGGGCCCGTGTTGGCCTGCTTGTTGATGTAGATACAGACTGATGCAGGGGGAACACAGGTGGAGACAGTTTTGGGTGGAGAAGGGATGGAGAAGAGATACCTAAATTATGATGTGTCTTTTAAGCAAATCAGGACTGGATCTTAAAGACAAAAATTATGTTACATGATGTTTCGAGTGTTTTACCTGTAAGCACCTGGGGCGTGGCAGAGTGGGGGATGGTGGCGGCATCCTGAGGAATGGAGCTCATATCGGGCTCAGGGGTGCTGCTGGGTGGAGAGATAGCCAACGGTGTCATCACCATCCTGGGTTTGAGCTGCAGAAGAAGAAGAAGTAATTGCATTGTTTATTTCAGGCATATCATTTATTTACTAAATCGTGCAAGGAGGGGGGTGGTGGAATAATCAGCCCACCAAATCTACACGAAACTGTAGATTTTATGCTACAGATGATTCTTTTTTTGCGTGTTTTATGGATAAAACAGACATATTTACAATAACAACATCCCCTTTGGTCATACAAATATTTCCATATCATTTGACTACAGTAGAATAAAGCCTCAGATGTTAAGTCTCTCTCTCTCTGTTTCACTGGGGTCGCACAAAATGTGAAGAGGATGGAGCCGGTGTGTCTGAGTCTTTCTGTGTACACATGCATTTTTAAACACACTGCATCCACACACACGCACACACTCATACACCACAGCTCATCCCCCCAGTTCCCCCCTCATGTGACTGACCTTGAAGCCTGGCTTTCTCCCCCTCTTCTTTGGCACTTTGAGTGGAGAGAGCGACTCGGGGTAACGATTTGGAAAATCCATCTTGGCGACATTGCGGAGCGGGGGTCTCCCTCTCTTCCTGCCCGGTATCTTCCCCGACTGGCTGGGGAGGAAGGAGGGAGTCACTGCAGCTGATTGCATTTCACTGTTGTTGCCGTCTGATTTCTGTGCCGTTGCTGCAGGTACACTCATTTGGAGCTGGAGACAAAGGAAACAATCATTGAGCTCAAGCTATAGAAATGCAAGGAGACATGCACCACCCTTGCACAGTAATCCTCCTCCTCAGCAACTATACATTAGATAGCAGCATTAGCATCATTTTAGAGCAGGCACAGAGGGAGCAGAATGGCTTGTGAACAACAGCAACATCTAAATACTCAGACTGCAGAATACTCAGCTGTGCAATGCGGTTAGAGGAGCAGCATTCAGCAGAGCACCATAATAAGGAAACAACACAAAAGGCAGCCATGCATGCGCTGTGGAGGAAACAGCACCTCCATCCTGCTCTGATAACACACTAATAAATCCAAGAGAGGAGGGGGGTGTCTATTACCTGCTGTCTTCTATTGTGAAAGCCCAAGAGCCAAGCCCTTTTTGTCTTAAATCCCAGGAGCCTAAAGGTGACTTTAAAGCTAAATCCCTAACAATGAAGGGGAAGCCATCCTGCTCTTGCTGTATGTGGCTTTTTCCTCGTCTCCTTTTTGGTTAACACACTGCTGCTGCTGCTGCTGCTGCTGCTGCTGCTGCTCGGCACACAGGCTGCAGACATCTCATTAGACTAATGCATTCAGCAGTGGCAGAGGGAGGGGGAAATTGACTTCACCATGGCTACCCAGCCATGAATTACCATTACGATGACAGCTTCCACCCTAATCTTTAAAAAAAAAAAGAAAGAAGAAGAAGAAGAAGCAGCGAGGAAATAAACATGTGGCACATCTCTGCATGCAGCAAGAATGAACGAACGGCGGTTCATACCTCCAAAAATGTCTATTATTTCAAGCAGATTGTTCAAAAGGATACAGCATGTAAACAAACAATAACCGGTCAGCAGGCACTCACCATCCAAAGACAGATGTGGAGTGATGTCCTGAGCACGGATCTCAAAGCAAGGTAGAGTCCACTGTAATACTGTATAGTATGTGTGTGTGAGTGTGTACAACAGAGACAGACAGAGAGTGACAGTGTGTGTGCTCGTGTGTGTGTGTGTGTGTGTGTGTGTGTGTGTGTGTGCATTAAAGAGAGACAGAGAGAGAGAGAGAGAGAGAGAGAGAGAGAGAGAGAGAAGGGCTCCTCTGTTGTCATGGCAACAAGCCTGTAAGCCCGTGTAACACCCTGTCGGTTGTCTGCCATGTTTTTGGTTTTTTTTGTCTTCTCAGTGCTGTGGAGGTATAACTGGACTGAGGACAGAGTTTCTGCTGTTTTTTTTATTATTTTATTGAGAATATTTTAATGATATTTTCTGCAGCGGTTTTCAATCTGTCGAATATTAGTGCAGCAATATATTTAGAGCTTCAACTGGTAGCAATTAATCGATCAAGACAAAAATAATCTGCAACTGTTTTGATAATTGAATGATTATTTTTTTACTTTTTTTAAGCATAAATGCCAAATATTTGACTCCTAAATGTAAAGAGTTGATGCTGATCTTTGTCTTTGGTGATAGGTTACTAAATATATATATATTATATATATATATATATATATATATA